GCATCTTGCTAGAACCACAGCGAATACAAAGTCACATCAAGCGCCATTCCACAACATGATGTTTTATGGTCTTCCTGGTACTGGTAAAACTATGGTGGCCAGAGAGATTGCTCGGAAGTCGGTAAGCTATTTATTTCCTTAGCCTTAGTCTATTTACTCTTGTATTCTTTATACAACTGCAAACTCGAGTCTTAACTTATAAACATAAGTATGATTATATTGTGCTGCAGGGTCTTGATTACGCTATGATGACATGAGGAGATGTTGCTCCTCTGGATGCACAGGCTTTTACAAAAATTCATGAGATTTTTTATTGGACTAAGAAATCAAACAAAGGTTTATTGCTTTTCATTGATGAAGCTGATGATTTCCTTTGAGAGTAAGATGCTCTCACCTATTTTTTTAAGCGCATTGTTACTTTTATTGTATCCTCAGAGTTATGTTTAATAGTTTATCAAATTCTTGATCGTTTATTGTAGGCGTAACAGCATGTATATGAGTGAGGCCCAGCGTAGCGCTCTGAACGCTTTACTCTTTTGGACCGGTGATCAGTCACATGATATAGTTCTGGTTCTGGCCACAATCAGACCTGGGGATCTCAACAGTGCAATCACTGACAGGATCAACGAAGTTATCGAATTTCCGCTCCCTGGTGAAAATGAACGTTTCAAGCTCCTTAAACTCTATCTTAACAAGTACCTATCTTGTGAAGACAAGAAAGGTGACAAAGACACGAACACTAAATGGAGCCATTTGTTCAAGAAGCAGTCACAAAAGATAACCGTTAAAGGAGACCTAATCGATCAAGTGTCATAGAGGCTGCGAGAAAGACAGAAGGATTCTCGGATCGTGAGATCGCTAAGCTCGTGGCTGGTGTTCAAGCTGCGGTGTATGGACGACCAGATTACGTCAAGATGCACAGATTTTTGAAGAGATTGTGGATTATAAAATCCAAGAGCACCACTAGAGAACCAGACTTGCGAGTTAAGGTGGCCAATCTATTTTTGCGAGTGAAGGTGGCCAATCTTTTGCTTAGAAGCGGGTAGTCACTCTTTCTGTATGGTTTGTTTCTTTAGCCGGCAAGTCTAACTTTGTTATGAAAGATGCGAGACTAGTTTCAATTTCGGTTTAATTGGATCTGATTCAGATTTGAAATTTAGTCCAGATGGCTTTGTATAAATTTGACCTCAAATTCTGGTCTGCGAGGGGAACACGGCTAACTGAAGGGTTCCGACCCGGTTTTACTTACCTGCGTTACGATTGTGGATTGGCTTCCTCGACTAAATGTTGTCTTTTCAGAGATTTTCTTTAAATATAGGAATTTTAACATTTTTCCTCAACGAGATCAGGTTCAATTCACATTTTTCCCTAGTCTAGTCCAGCACCCTAACGAATTACTAAAATAATACAGCGATTTAAACATGTATCTTAGTCATTTTTGTTCATATATCCTTTTGTTATATTCTGGTTATCACCATGTGCCCTCATCCGGTTAGCTCAATCATATTCGACTGAATCCCCTTGTTTCTTAGTCGCTTAACCAACTATCCCCATGACCTAGTAACAAAGACAGACGGCTTAGTCTAGATTGAGCCATCCAATACAAGTGTTAGCCATGCTCAATGCACTACAACTAGATTCTGATCCATCATGATTATTCATAACTATAACTCGGCTTAACAGCCTTCAGATCAGACTGACTCTTCCCAGTAGATACTGGATATACTAAACTCGGTCAATGTGTCACCAGATTATCAGTCCCCTTGACTCAGATCATCCTCTCTACCTTGCGGTTCATGTTCACTCGGACTCTCGTTTGGACATGTCCATACATCTATCGATGCACATTCATTATGTCTCCTCCATCTCAAAACAAGCTTATATATCTCTCATTTAAATACCGTGTCTCTACACTTGAACATAATGTTGTAAATCTGCAGTCTCTCGTCCAGATCACAATTGTTCGCCACCCATTTCCGATATGATTCTCTATAGCGGACAATCACCCATTAGATCGTTTCTCTTCAGTACATAACACTAGTTCGGATAGATCACACCGAAGCCATATTCTCTTGATCTCCACTCGATCCTTGCGGTCGTAACCGCCAAAAACTCCACTACTTTCCCTCGATACGCCGTTCATCCCACAACATACCTAGGCACGACTCTAACTTAATCAAATAAGGTTTATAAACACTTACTCTATTCAAGTTGAGCATACTCTATCGAGATCCATACACATCACAACTCTAACAGACAAACATGTTCGATAATAGTCTCTAAGCCATGCATGATATATGGTGTTTTTGACATCATTGTATATGTGTTTTCTAAATTTTTTTTTGAGTCTTTATCGAGTCTTTTTAGTCATTTTCGAGTCATGACAGGTCTGGAGTTGCACTGGATGGGAGATGGACTAGTTGGAGCGAAAGAGGCAGAAAACAGTGCAATTTGGTGATTTTCACGCAGAACAGTCTGAAGTTATTGTTCCCGATCGAGCGGAGCAACCCGAGTGCATGTTCCTGGGGCAGATATTTTTATGGAAACCTTTATTATTTCAGGATTTTCCCTAGTTTTCTTATTTTTCCTCTCCAGCCGCCAGCACACCATATATATTATTTTCCCCTTTTCTATTATTTGCTATGCTATTTTTTACACAAGAAACCAGACTTGAGCTTTTGGAGATTTTTTATTTAATACTTTGTAACTTTGAGGGAGGAGAATCTCTACAATCTTTGGAGAAGATTTCTAAACCCTCTTGCTTATTATTTATTGATTCAGGCATGTTTTCTTCATCTCTATTCTCTGTGATTTCTCTGTTCATGGCTGAGTAGTCGCTTGTTAGGTTTAGAGTGTTAGGGATCATGGATTAATGAGTTAGACACAAAGAGGATTGTTATTCTTTGATATCTCTATCTATTGCTATACTTATTTCTTGTGTTAAACTGGCTATTTATCAACTGATTACAGGTTTAATCTAATCATCAAAAGTTTTTTAGGTTGCTAGAAAAAGCAATGATAGACGATTTGTCCTTAGGCAACAAAAGCTGATGTTAAGGCAAATTGTGAACCAATTGAATCTGATCTTTATGCTTGTCACCAGTCTCTAATCCAAACGATAGTTTAGGTATTAGGATTTCTTGATAATTTGGTAGACACCACGACAGTGGGTTTATCTAATCTTGTTGTTCAAGTTCTAGATTGGTTCGCATTGTTTTCCTGAATAGTTGTGTAGCTCATGATCCTAAGTATCCCAATGAATCACCCTGAATCTAGCTCTTTTATAATCTGAAACCAAACCATCTTTCTTACTTGCTTATTACGATTTTTTATTTTAAAACCCCCATATTGTTTTAGCTTAATACTGATCCTATAGTGATAAAGTGTAAATTGGTCCTCTGAAATTGAATGTCAAATACTACATCTACATCGTTAGCTTGCAGTAGGAAAGACACAAGTTTAGTGTATCAATGTGCTAAAGTTTCTTGATTGTAACTGCCTCTCGATCAGCCAAGTTACGCATAATACACCATCTCGTCTCTCTCGGACGTATCGAATCGTGCATGATTCACACATTGTCATCAATCAATCGATTGCCTAGTTTTCCACATATTTGGTCATTACCATTTCAGACAGCACATACTGTACCATAGTAAAATTACGATCTTATCCACTTGATGACCTTCAGCCATAATTACTGCCACAGACTTGGATCTTCATCGTGACCCATTACTTCACTCGAATGATGCCCTGACACGACTCATAGTACACTAGAGCAACCATCACTCGACTCTTGGATTAGTTGGATAAGGACCAGATAAGTCATTCTTGGCGGTATCACTCTCTCTTTCTATCGAATTCTTCCTTTTTCCTCTAGGTTTATTTCTGTGTCCAGAATATCGTGTAAGAAGGAGTAATTGATCTCCTTTCCCACGAGATACCTTCAAGAGGCAGTTCAGGACAGTTTTTCCCTTTCCCTTAACCTCTTCATGCTTAGGAAAATCAATAACCGACTCATGAAAATCACTTAATTAACTACAAATCAATAACTGACCCGCCTCGGCTTGACTGCTCAATCTAGTAACCATTTAACACAGTTCCATAGTCTAGTAATTGTCTCAGCCCCAACTACCAAATGATAGTTCTAGAAACTGCTTGATAACTGCCCCAGTAACCGCTTTGGATCACTGTTCTAGAACCGTTCGGTAACTGCTCTTGAAACTGCTTTTTAACTACTTCGGATAACTACTCAGGTAACTGATCATTTTTCGGCCAATTGCCCATTTCAGTAATTTTTTCTATAAGAGCTTCTTTAGTCCACCTCTATATTTACTTCTATAATAGCATTTAGAACCGAAAATTACATTATCCCTATTACATTTCTTCTTCTAAAATAGAGATTACTATATATTCCTCTATTTATAGAGGAAGAAATAACATTCCTCTATCTTTTACTTTATATTTGGAGATTGTTACTTTAGAGAAATACATTACAACAAATCATATCTCCATTATAGAGTTTTTCTATTTTGTCGAAAATAGCAAAATACATTGGAGATTGTCAAACTGTTATTATAACTGCCAGATAATTGTTTCCGCTTGTTTCCTTATGCAATCAGTATATGTTTGGTTCAGTTACCGTTCCCGCCAAAACGAATATTAGTCAGTCCACACACGAACAAACTGATCCGGACGACAAACCTACTAGTCGGTAATGTTTTTTTATTCAAATTTGGTCACTGCACTTGAGAGTATATGTACGTATTTGGCCATCAAAACAATATTTAGCCGTGATTAGGTGATTTAACAAAAGAGGTAATGTTTTACTTTCTTCCAGTGTTTTACTTATTTTTTCCCAATGCATGTTACGCTAAGGATTTTGCCTATGACAAGGCAGGCAATGCAAAAGACATGGTTTACAATTACAACAATATGATTACTCATACCGTTATAATATGATTAAATTATTAATATTTTTTTTGAAACTATGATTACATTATTTTTGAAATAGGAAGAGTAAAGAAAACAAAGAAAAATAACACAAATTTGATATCGAGAATCATGTGTCAAGTCAATTACATCCAATTTAGTTTCCAGAGTAAACTGCAGTAAGAAACTTTTTGAGGTGTTTATTATATACACAAGGTCTCTCCAAATGTGCCAAGTGACCTGCCTTTTTTATACTATCCATTGTTGCATTTTCGCCTAGTTGCCTGTAAAACAGAATTGAAATGAGAATATGTATATATATTGTTATTAATATTCTGTAATAATTTCAATGAAAAGTAACTTTTGCTTTGCAACTTACTCCTTCATGTTCTTGGCCATTTCAAGATTAAAAAGTTTATCACTTTCGCCCCACAAGAGATGAATTTTCTGCATAACCAAAAATGTATATATCGCTTTGTTAAGTGGTAAATACACTAATATTTTTTGGATTTAATTCATAAAATAAATCAAATTCGTACTATTTTAGTTTTTTTATAAATTTGGAATATAGTGTTTTATTTTATTCAAACTATTAAATATAGAGAAAAGTCATGAGTCGAGTACTAATTAGAAGCAATTTGATTATTTGTGTATAATGAGTTTTAGATGCTGCGAGAACAACTCTATCTTATCTTTGGTTGTTATTTCATTTGTGCTTTCATCTGTTGGAGGTTTACCTCTAATAACCAATTCACTGCAAACTAAAATAGACCAAGAATACCATGTTTTCTCAAACAAATACCACATAATTTTTAAAAATTCCACAAGAGGTCCCACAACCTTAAGATTTACTGAAAAAATCCAAAAAATCTAGGAACACTATAAATGATTAGGATCCATTTCCAAGTTCTTAGTAATCTTTCTAAGTTTTTTGCGAGTAACTTTGAATTTCTTTCGCTTTGGAGTTAAAAAAAATTGTTGTATTTTAGAGTACTTTTATGTAGAGAGTAATTGATATTTCTTATCGAAATCTTCTTGTATGGAATTCTATAGGTAAATAAATGAAACAGTTATGCATATTGTGTGAATAATTATTGTATGGATCAGTATTATATAAAAACCTGTTGTAAACGAGGGATGGTCACATCTTCGTTGCTGCTGGTGACCAAACCTTCTAACAGTTCTGCTTTTTCCTTTCTATTGGTATCAATCACCTTCACATTTACAATAAATATATTATTTAACAAATGAGAATATTTTTTTAATTAACCTTGATAAGTCTATAGAAATACTCTGACTAATCTCTACAAGAAAGTAAAATATATATGGATATTCTTTATTTTTGAATATTTAAATGGGTCGAAAACAAGATTCCATATACATGTAGGTGTCTAGAACAATGTAACTTAATTGTCTGCAGCATCAGGTGGATCGAAATTTAAACATATTAGTGTTTCAAGCCTATTCATTTACCACTCGATCACAAGGTTCCGAACAAGATTTATTTTTTGAAATGTAACATTTTATTTCTTTCTCGTGTACAAAAGAAAAGAATAAACCCAAATGTATAATTTTCAAACTTTCTGTACGTTCTTACCTCAATGTAATCCTTGAAAAGACGGTTCGGGAACCACATGGGTCTATGAACAGAAAGGGCAAAAAGAGTCTTGAGTCCCTTAACCGAAGTTGGTAACAGAAGATCCACAGATGACTTAAACCCTATCCGATTCAAATTTGACTCACTGATTGTATCAGTCATCGCGAGAATCGAACCTGATGTAGATATAAATTTAATACTGTATCTATATATGTATTAATCTATAGTTTAAGAATGATATTACTATGTAATAAATATAATAATATAAGACATAGGTTTTTCAAACAGCTTGTCATAACATGACTAAAGATTGATATACAAAATAAAGGTGTTATTAACGGCCGCAAATTAAATTAGCTGGTTAGGCATAAACGCTTTGCATGTAGCATGATATATATAGAACATCATGTCCGGTCAAGTGTTGTGGATTAACCCGGCTTTGATCACCCATAAAACCTTCTCCAATGTATTTTACTTTTTTTTTTATCTATAAAATAGAAAACTCTATAATTACACTCTTCTAAAATAATATATCGAAGTATAGAGAAATACTATTTGTTTCTCTATAGATAGAGTAAAAAAAATATCAATATATATTATAGATAAAGAAATAAAGATTGGTTGGAGCAATTTTACCTCTAAATATTAGTATAAAGATCAAAAAAAAAAAAAAAAAAAAAAAAAACAATGTTGTTGGAGATGTTATAAATTATCCAAGAAATATGGTAAATACCTGACACCACCATGGCTTTAACCATCTCAGGGTACTTTTCCACGATCTTGAAAGCCACCATTCCACCGTAACTAAAGCCTACAAGGACAAACTCATCCACTCCAAGGATACGAAGAGACTTGATCAAACAGTGGGCTTGAAATGCTGGTGACCTATCCGGTTTATCTGAATAGGATCCACCGAAGAAGAGGAGGTCTGGTATATAGATTGAGTACTTTTTGGCTAGTGATCTGACCTGGAATTGCCACGTCACGATCCCTTCGGCTGCAAAGCCGTGGATGAACAAAATGGCTGGTTTAGTAGGTTTCTTGGGTTTCACGTCAGAGGTTCTGTCGGATTTTTTGGGGGCTTTAAGGGTTTCTTTGGGGATCCAGAAGTTCATCTTTGTCCCTGGTTCCATCTCTACGGTGTATGGAATAACGCCGGCTAATTTCATGAGGCCGTACAGCATTGGTTTTGGTGACTCTACCAAGTTCACCATTGTGTTTCCTTTTTGTTTGCTCTTCTTTTGATATGTTTGGAGAGTGATTTTTTATAATGATATAAGTAAAAGGAAGGGTAAGATTTTATAATCTGAGTTGTGATTAATTATAATGTATTTGGTGTTATGTGATCGTATCAATCCAAACATTTCGTGTTTTACATTTCTAGTTTTATATTGTCAGATTTGTTTTGATAGATAACTGAAAAAAAAAACTTTGCAGAATGTAGTAACTATTCAACTTTAGTGAAATAAAAGGAAAACCGTTTTCTCTGTTTTTTGGGTAAAGTTTATTTCTTGTTTAGTTAGAATGTAGCCTATATTATGCAGAATTGTCATTTAGGTAGCTTAATTTATTCTTACGATCCCACCATTTCGTAACGTTACAGACCAAAACTATTATGAGTGCCTCGTATATTAGAGAACATGAAGTATTGTTTTTCAATTCAGCAATTAATAGGATAATTTTGGAAATAATTCTTACTTGTCTTGCATGAAAACTCTGAATCTTGTAAAAGTTGGAGATCTGCATTTTTCTACTACTGTCGTGTATGCTGTAAAAATAAGATCTTTTTAACTGTCGGTAAGATCTTTCCCTATTCTTGTTCTTTAATTGAAGATAAATTTGTGTGACCAAAAAAAGATTAAATTAAATTTATATTATATTATATCTTTAATTTTAGGGAGATATATTCTGTTAATTATCGTTTTACATTTATATTTTATTTATTTATTCATTTTTGTCCTCGTGTTATATGGACTAAGGTCGTTTTATTGCTGCAAATTAACAAAACCCACGTGGTCCGTACCTCCCACAGTTTCTATATTGTCAATTGACCTTTTGAGCTACGCAATTAGAACAAATTTAATATGACTAATATAGTTTAATTACACTATCATTAATGAACTCTTCTCTGGACTATGTGGTCCATAGCCTCCAAATCTCTAATAATTAGTAATCACGTTATCATTGATGAGTGTTGTATTCACAAATTGTACCAAAATGATTATAAATATAATATACACAAACCCAATATGACAAGACATATACATAACCTAACTACCTAGACGAAAATAACATATATTAAAAACAAAAGTAATTCCAAAGTACTGAGGTTTATTTATATTAGCAGCTACTTTCCTACATAACAATCTAGACCGCATCTAATGATTATCAAATATAAAATTATAGAATCTCCCGTGAACAAAATTTTTGATAATAAGAATAACTCTCTTATTAATCTCGTGAGAAAACTAATTCAAATCTTCAAGCACTCAATCTCTCAATTACAAAACCCGTAAGTTACGACATATATTGGCATCTCCTTATATATGAATAGATAACTACTAAACATAATGAATTTTAACACATTTTAGTTATTTCCTAATCTCTTTAGCACACTATAACTCGGTTTAGGAAACTTGCCACTTAAATTATCTTTAAGCTTATGTCAACATTTTACCACTTAAGCTTGAAGTTAACTTTGCCCTCATCTTGAACTCCAATAAGATCCCTCATCTCCTTGAATATAGTCCTTGCAAGTTATTTAGTAAAAATGTCAGCCTTCTATATGCTTCCTGAAACATGTTCAACCTCGACTTGGTCATTCTCAACACATTCACGTATATAGTGAAACCTTTCTATGAATATGCTTACTTCGACCATAAAAGACAGGATTTTTGGTTAATGCTATTGCAGATTTATTATCAATTCGAATGACCACTTTCTCGCACTCCTTATTCAATACTTCACCAACAAGTTCCTGCAGGCATATAGCTTGTTTAGCAGCTTCTGTAGCAGCCATGAACTCGACTTCACAGGATGACAACACTATTGTTTCCTACTTCTGTGCACACCATGTAATAGGGATTTTTTTTTTAAGTAGAACATGTGACTTGTTGTGCTCCTCCCATCATCTTCATCAGCATTATGTGAACTGTCACTATATCCAATTAAACTAGTACCTCTAGATCGTTCATATGACAGCTCGTAAGACATGGTGCCTCTTAAATACCGTAACACTTGTTTGAGTGCGGCTCCATGTGATTCTCGTGGATCATGCATCTAGCGGCTTAGCATTCCCACAGCAAAGCTTATATCAGATCATGCATGAAGCAATTATCGGAGACATCCAATACTTCTTCTATACTCCTTTTCATTAATCCGCTTCTTCTTTAGTGCCTTAGACATCTTTAAGTTAAGTTCCATTGGCCCTTGATTCGAGTTACAGTCTTCCATACACGCTTCTTCTAAGATCTTGAGAGCATATCTTTCTTGCTTCAAGGTTATACCATCTTGATGTTTAAGTACTTCTATCCCAAGATAGTAGGTTAACTTTCCTGAATCACTCATATCGAACTTAGTAGACATCTTTGTTTTGAATTCAAGAATCATGTCCAAATCCGAACCAGTTACCAAGAGATCATCAACGTAGACAGCCACAACCAGAAGACGATCAGCCACTTCTTCTGATACAGAGAGGGTTCCTTTGAACACTTACCAAACCCCATTGAACAGATAATGCTATTAAGCTTTGTGTTCCAAGCTCTAGGAGCTTGTTTAAATCCGTAGAAAGCTTTGTTGAGCTTATACACTTTATTCTCACCTCCTCTGATCTCAAACCCCTCTGGTTGTCTCACATAAACCTCTTCCTTTAACTCTCCATGCAAAAATGCAGTCTTGACGTCAAGGTGATGAACTTCCCACTGGTTTGAAGCCGCTAAAGTAATGATAAACCTCACGGTCTCTGTTCTTGCAACAGGAGCAAAGATCTCTTCAAAATCAACTCCATGTCTCTGCACATATCCTTTAGCAACTAATCTTGCTTTATACTTGTTCACACTTCCATCAGGGTTATGCTTTATCTTGAAGACCCATTTCAAACCAATTGGTTTGACTCCAACCGGCAGATCAACTAGCTCCCATGTATTATTCTTTATAATGGATGCAATCTCATCTTCACAAGCTATTATCCAGTGTCTAAACTCTTTAGCTTCATTAAAGTCCCACGGTTCTTCGTTGATCAGGATCAAGACACGCTCACACTCAACATCTGAAAAAAAATGTAATCATTTAGATATTCATGTTTTCTTCGTACTCTTGTGGAACGTCTCAACTCCTCATGAGCTTGTTCTTCTTCATCTTCATCACTTTCGTTTATAGGTACATTCTCTGTACCATCTGTTTGATCTCCATCCTCTGCGACATGATCAAAACCGCCATTGCCTTGACTTATAACTTGAGACGAAGCACTATTATCTTGTGAATCTTCACCACTTTCTACACCAATGCTTCCATACTTTCCAAAGATCAAGTTAAACTCTTCTTCATCATAATTGTCTGACCTTTTATTTCCGCTCCAATTCCAGGTTTTACTTTCATCAAAAACCACATCTCTGCTGACAATGATTCTCTGGTTTGCTGGATCAAAGAGTCGATAACATTTGGATCCAGGTTCTGTTCCTAGGTGAACCAACATCTTTGATCTATCATCCATTTTTTTTTCTTCCAGCAACTTCTGTTCTTGCATATCCGATACACCAAAAAACTCGGAGGTGGTTTATGTTCGGTTTTGTTCTCTTTAGGACTTCATACGGAGTTTGAGGAACTTCCAACGACCTTGTTGCTACTCTATTGATCAGATAAGTGGCGTGTCTCACAGCTTCTCCCCACAGGTAGTTTGGTATATTCAAGTGCTTTAAGATACTCCTGGTCATCTCCATCAATGTTCTATTCCGTCACTCCATAACTCCATTCTACTGAGGCGAATATGGCATAGTGAGATGCCTCTTTATGCCATATTTCTCACAAAAAGCTTGGAATTCATGTGATGTGAACTCTCCACCTCTGTCTGTACGGAAAGTTTTGGTAGAAGCCTTCGTTTCTTGTTCGACTTGTACCTTGAAATTTTTAAACTTCTCAAACGCTTCACTTTTCTCATGTAGCCGAATTGACCACATATATCGAGTATAATCATCAATGATCACAAATATATACTTCTTTTGCGCAGGCGTTGATGGAGTGATCGGTCCACAGAGGTCTCCATATATTAGTTCTAGAACTTGTTTTGCTCGGTACGTAGTTGCATGTGGAAACATTTGTCGTGTATGTTTTCCTTTTAAACAAGACACACAAGTCTCTTTACCTCGGGTAACCTGTGGTAAGCCAAATACAAGTTCCTTATTAGCCATCATCTTCATAGTCTCCACGTTGATGTGACCTAAGCGAGCATGCCACTTTGTTGTTTCTCCTAAAGACATTAGTTGCAGACACTTGATGATTTCTACTTCCAAGATCACTTTGTATAATCAGTTTCTAGACCTTGTTTTCTTTACTACCAGCCCTCCGTTTCGATCAAATGTCAACAACTCATCTTTCATACGGACTTCACACCCTGCTTTTGTTGCTTGTCCAATACTTACTATATTGATTCTCAAGTTTGGTATGAAATACACATTCTTCAAGACCTTCTTTTCTCCGTTTTAAGTAGAAACCAGACTGAACCTTTCCCTTTAATCTCTATACGAGAATCATCACCAAATTTCACCATTCCTGTAATTGTATCATCAAGGTCAAAAAAGAATGATCAGTTTCCACTCATATGGTTGCTAGCTCCATTATCAAGATACCATAGATATTTTGTGTCTGTCTCGGTTTCAAACATGCTCGGTTTCACCTTCTTCTCATTAAGGTACACCACTTCGTGTACCATCAGATTTTCAGCCTCATGTGTATCATCATCTTCTTTTTTTTCAATCGCTTCTTGAAGCTTAAGCAACCTGTCCAGACAATTACTTGCGTAATGACCTAACTTGTCACATCGATAACACATAAATTTGGACTCATCTCGCTTTTGATAGTGACCATATCCATATCTACCACGACCTCTTCCTCTGCAGTTTGATCGACCTCTTTGTCCTCTACCTTTGTAGTTACCATTATAGTCACGATTGTTGGTGTTTAAGGTAGGTTGAGATTCGTTGTTTGCATACATAAGCTTACTCTGATTTTCTTCTTCTTCTCCGT